CACAGAAATCTCTCTCTTGTGTGTATATATACACATCTTATCTTTCTGCCTCATCTGTCAGAGTCTGAGCCTGCTCCACAACGCACAAATTTACAAAATGACAAAATAAGAATGGACTAGACCCTGAGTGCCTCAGCGTGTATTGTGAGGTCTGTGGGTCCGGAACTGTCCTCCCTGGCCGAAGCAGAGAAAGAAACACCATATGGAGATTCACAAGGCTGGAAGGTTCAATATAAACTGGGAACGATGAGGAAGCACCACTTTTCTGGCTACTAGACCGGCAGAGAAATTCTTCCAATGAGAAGTGTATTACAGAATTTCATAAATATCAGTGCCATGTGATACTTCATTAGAACAGACTTTAAGGTATGCTAGCATCGTGACACCAAGGGTGATTCAGTCTATGACGAGCCTTTCTCTCTCTCCAGGATTTCTCTGTGTAGCCTTGGGTGTCCTGGACTTGCTTTGTAGACCAGTCTGGCCTTGAACTCACAGCGATCCACCTGCCTCTGCCTCCCTGAGTGCTGGGATTACAGACATGAACCACCATGCCTGGGTCTGGACACCTTATTCTCAAACGTTCCTTTGTCTTCCTTCTTCAGTACGTCCTGTTGGGTATGCACCAGCACAACAGGCAAGTTCCCTATTCTCAATTGTAGTCAGCCTCCTCTGCTGAGGGAGCAATGTTAAAATAACCAATTTCTATAGAAACGCCTAAGTTTCAGAGGAATCCTTTGGATTTGTTTGCTTGCTTGTGCACAGACAAGGTCTCAGGCAGCCCAGGCTGGCTTGGCCTGCTCTGTAGCTGAGGATGGCCGTGACTACTGCACCTTGCACCCCCAGTGCTCAGCCCCACCATGCCTGGGTTATGAGGTGTTGGGATGGAACCCAAGGCTTCACACGTGCCGGGCAAGATCTTTACCAACTGAGCTACACCCCCAGCTCCTCCGTGTGTTTAAATGAGATAGTGGAAGGTAAAAAGCAAGTTCTTGGCATAGAGTAGGAGACTAAGAAATCTAAATTTCCTGAGGCTGGAAAAATGGTTCAGTGGTTAAGATCACGTGGCCACTTCTGCGGAGGACCTGGATTCAGTTCCTGGTATCAACACGGTGACTCACAACTGCCTGTAAGTCCTGTCCCAGATGATCTGGTACTCTCTTCTGGCCTCCATGGACTCCTGCATGGACCTAGTGCATATACATTCATGTAGGCTCACACACACATTAAAAAAAATCTTAAAAAAAGGTTTTCTTTTTTTTGAAGTATCGCAACCAATTCCTCAGACAAGGTAAATATTGTAAAGCAGCATTTTGAGAAAATCAGGACCTTGGGGCCAGGGAAACACAGTTTTCCTACTGCTTTGTTAACTGAGCTCTCGGTCTCCACTTCCTCTTCTGTAACACATAACAACCAGCACTTATGTGAGCACCGTGAAGAAGCCGGAAGCGTGCTCTCTGAAGGTAGCGTGTTCAAGCTGAGAGGCGCTGCATGAACGGCAAAGGGCAGCTTCTCTCAGGAGCTGACGCTGTAGTGATAGGAAGCAGGGAGCATATTTCAGGCAGGAGAAACAGCAGTGCAAGGGCTAAGCTAAAAATGAGCAGGTCTGTCTGGGCGACCGTCACTGCAGTGCTCTGCCCACCGCAGAGGGGGAGAGAGAGGCCGGCAGGGGAAGGGTCTTCTAGTTCAGCAATTCCCAAAGCATCTATGGACAGTCTTGAAAAACAGTTTTAAGGCTAACGTGGGATCTAATTGCACATCGTCTCTGGGCAGATGGCCCCCCTACATTCACACCTGACTGAACTCGCACTTGAGCTTGTGGCAATGCCAGGCTTCTAAATGCTGAATCCCATTCTCTGTCCTCACTGTACTCATCGGAATGTAGGCCAGCAACACATGGGTTGACCGCTCTGCTGACCGCTCTGAGAAGCACATGGAAAGATGTCTGATTTCACTCTAAGTGCTTTAGAAAGTATTGATGGGGAAGGAAGAAAGAGGATTCAAGGATTCAAGGACTTGTAGGTCGCTCATAGGACTAGAGGACAAATGTGATGAGATGGAAACATTTGCTTTGAAGGATTCTAGACATTTGAGAGGACTGGTCTGGGAGGAAGCTGGCTGTGAGTCTGGGCTTCACAATTCTGAGCAGGGCCCAGGAAGTAATTCTGGGCTCTTGTGACAGCCTTTGTGTAAAGCTTCAGATTGCCTGTGTCACATGGCATGTTCTGCAATGAAAAGGAGACAAGAAAACCTAGTGAGAGAAATGTTGAAAGTCCATCAGCTTCAGGTTCCCAGAATTTTGACTGTGGCATCTACAGAACTTCACCACTGCAGAGAACACAGATGACAATCCCCCAGCCTCCAATGGTGGCAGGAAGTTCAAGAGGTGGAAAAAGATAGGTGGAAAAAGCACCAGGTTCAGAAAGCATTTAAACCCGTCCAACTGTTAGGTATCATGATTGTAGTAGAGTCAAGTTTCTTTGTGTTGATGGCGTCCTGGATTGACTTGTCACCCTCCAAAAGACATATGTCTCAGATCCTACAGTTAGGAAAAAGACCTTATTGTGGGTGTAATTACCTTAGGCTGAGAGTATCCTGGGCTATCCTGTTGCTTCATTATCCCATGATCAGTTTTCTTAGAAGAGACAGACTCCAGGGATACAGACACGAAGAAGAAAAATACTTGGTGGTTATGGCAGGGGCTGCAGTATGGTCCACTCAGGGACAGACACCAAGGACAGTCAGCAGCTGGCAGAAGCTGCAAGGGACAGGGTTACCATAGGACTGTGTATTGATGAGACATGCCAGCGCTGTCAATGCCTGAATTTTAGACCTTGGTTGTCCAGAAATTTGAGAGAAATGTCTATTGTGTAAGATTCTCAGTTTGTGAAAATTGACTACAATGGCCTAGGAAAGGAATGCACGTGGTCTGTTAGCTTGACACTGCTGCAAGCCTTCATCCTCATACTGTGGCTTGCTGCTCTGGCTGTGCAGTAGAATCAGAAAGCGAGCTCAGAAACTGCCGATGTGAGTCTGGGGGAGATGATGTGGCCAGCAGCATGCTTGCTGTGTAAGCGTGAGGAACCCAGTTCAGGTCCCCAGCACCCGTGTAAGGAGCCAGGAATTGTGGCACACCCCTGTAATCCCTGTGCTGGGCGAGGCAGGAAGAGGGGGTTCCCTGAGGTGTGCGGGTCAGCCAGTCTAGCAGCTGGTTCAATGGGAGACTCTGTCTCAAGAAAACAAAGCAGAATGTGATTGGGGAAAACACTGTGCCGATCTTTGCCTCCACTTGCACATACACACATGTACACATGCCTTCCAAACAGATATACTATAAGTGAACACACCTGCATGCAGGAAGCATGCACGCATGAGTGAGCCACTCCATGCACACGCAAATTTACACGGCTGATGCCCTGTACGCATTATCACGAGTCCGATGTCCAGAACTCTGCGGTACAAACTACCATTTAGTCACAATTGAACAACACAGAGGTAGCACAGAAGGCGGGCAAAGGGACACCTTTGGACTTTCCCCTCTCTCCCTCCCTCCCTCCTTCCTTCCCTCCCTCCCTTCCTCCCTTCTTCCTTCCCTCCCTCCCTGCCTGCCTTCATTCTTTTCTTAAAAAAAAAAAAGAAAAAGAAAAGACATGGCATCTCTGCTTAGCTCTGGCAGGCCTTAAACTCACTGTGTAGGCCAGGCTATCTCCAGCTCACACAGATCCACCTGCTTCTGCTTCCTGAATGCTAGGATCAAAGCTGTGTGCTGCCACACCCTGCTCTTGTGTACTTTGCTCAACCTTAAGCAGTCCTTTGACATTTAATGTTAGATACATTACATCCACGTATAAGGTATTCTCAGACCCCGGCTGGAGCAATTTTAAGTCAGCAATTTGTATAGATCTCACAGCACCAAGACAGCCCCCTTTCCACCATGAAGGAACAAATGCTCTGACTGACGACCACCATTGCCTGTCTGTACATGCCCATGGTACCCCAGAAGAAGCATGGGGGGTGGGGAGGACATCCCTTCCTAGATTAAAACCTGAGGAAGCCAAACTCCAATGCAATCAAAAGATTTCCTTGCAAGCCCCACTTCAGCTTGTCCCACGTCCTTCCTTCCAGAGAAATGATGGCAATTGTGAATCGTCGGTCGCACACTCTTCCTGTTACACCGACATGCTGGACAAGAGAAGAGGCCGTTATTATCTGGAAGCAGGAGGATTCCTAACTGTGCAACAAAGCAGTTCCTTGTATAGATGTTCCTTAATAAATGTTTCTTTATTTCGGGGGCTGCGTGATCTCCTGTGGCTGTCTCTCTCCCATGTCAGCGAGCAGTCATGAGGGAGCAGCACTTGGCCAGCTCAGGTCTGTAAAGCGCCTTTGATGGAATGCTCACTGCATCTATTGACGCACTGGGAAGTCTGAGGTCACAAGCTTGGCTGAGACACATGAGCCCAATAAAGAGGCTGGTTTTGGCCTCCTGACACAAAGCCAGACACTTTATCAGCTTCGTTGTACGCTTAGGGTCATGTGTTCACAAAGAGGATTTCTCCAGTTATAATCCCCCTAATGATGGCTTCTCCCAGCCCTTCCCCACCAGGCCCCGTGGCTTGGCGGGCCAGAGAGAATAAAGGCAACACGGTGCTTGGCTTTTGAACTGAGTTCAAGGCAATTAAAGTCAAGGGCTAAGGAGAGCAGGAGGAGGCTTAGAAACAGCGGCATAATAGGCACTATGGTTGGAGCGGTCTGTAAATTAACTCAATTAGACAGAGCCTGATTTAACGGGGAACACTGGCGGGAAGCCCTCCCCTCATTAAATTTGATGTTACAGGAGCTTCTGATGAAATGAAATTTGTGTTAGTTGTTTGACTCACATAAAATAGCATGTGCACGGGCATGTACGCGTGTGCACACATGTAGGTTCCGTGATTTAGGTGAGAGTCTTGAGAGGAGAGAGGGAAGGGATAGAGCTAAAAAAAGAAAAGGGAAGAGAAGGAAATTTGAGTGAGTGACTGCTCCAGGACTTAGTGGAAGACAAGGAGAAAAGCCAGACAGAAAGCAGGTGGGAAGCCTGGCCAGGTCTTCCAATTCAGAAGGCATGGGCCTTGTGCGCTGGGGGCTTCTGCTGGCCTGGCTGGGCTGCGGAGTCCTGCCTGGGGTCCGGGCTCAGTTTCCCCGTGTCTGCATGACTTTGAGTGGTGTGCTGAAGAAAGAGTGCTGCCCGCCTCTGGGCTCTGAGTCAGCCAACATCTGTGGCTCTCAAGAGGGCCGGGGGCAGTGCACAGAGGTGCAAACGGACACCAGGCCCTGGAGTGGCCCTTACGTTCTTCGAAACCAGGATGACCGTGAGCAGTGGCCGAGAAAATTCTTCAACCGGACATGCAAGTGCACAGGTGAGGCCCTACCGGAGCCAGCTGTCACCGTGAGCTTGAGCTTGCTGGGGACTCCGAGCTGGGAAAGGGATGCTTTCTGAGGGAGAGCTGAGGCTGCCACACTGTTAGGCTAGCTGGTTTTGGTGGTGAGTCCCTTCAGCAAGGTGGACGGACTGGTTACATCGTTCACGCCTTGTACGTATACTCATGAAAACTAAATCAACATTACCTGGCCACGCCTGATTTCTGAATGCTTGCCAACATACCTTTGGCTTGTTTGTTGGGAGGGGAGGCTACAGAGATGGAGAGCTTGCTTTGAAACTAGAACAAGTCTTTTCAAGATGGATCTGGCCTCTTCAGCAATGGGTTCGCACTTGCTGAGGCTCTGGGTGTGGCTTGGCATCCGGCAGGGGGAGAGGAGGCAGGTGCTGCAGAGCTCTGCTCTCAGCATTTCTCAGGGTTTGAACAGACCGCAAACAGGGTCCATTGGCCTTGTTCAAGCCAGGGCCGGACTGTAACTTTGCCAGAGTTGGGAAGAAGATGGGGCAAAGCAGCTTCCTCATTAGTGAGGTGATATTAAGGACCAGCGGCTTCCTTCTACCAATGTCTGAACTCCAAATGAGCAATATCAGACCTTCCTTTACAACCAGGGTCTCTCCCAGTACTCATTTCTATGAAATCTCCATTTTTTCTCTTGGCTCTTCTGGGGTTCTTAAGTCTTCCTCTATCCTGAGTTTTGGCTCCCAGAAACTTTGCACAACGGTGAGAAACACTCAGTCTGGCAGGGCATATGAAAAAGTAAAAAAACCCGCAAACAGCCGCTCCAACAAAGCCCTCAGACACCATTCCCCAGCAGCCAGCTGCTCATGGCTTTCCCTTCTGGCATAGTTCTGTCTTCTCACTTGCTGCTGATACAGGAGAGTATGAACGATCCAGCCGTGTCAGGGTCTGATACTGCATCACAAAGGGAGGGCGTGAGAACGCCCCAAATTCTGCCCTTATGGTTTTGTTATAAAATATGTCCTATTATGTTGGAAGTTCTGAGAGATCAAGTGCTCCAACACTGAAGTACACCCCAGCCCTTGTAATCATAAATTATGTGATTCAAAGGAATTTTTACACCCAGTTTTGCTCTAGATATTGTGACAAAAGTTATGATAGCATATTTTATATGTATTATCCATTTTTTTTCTGAGCCATTAGAGCATCTGTAGACATTGCTTTATAGGTGTTCAGTCGCACAAGGGGCCCTGGATTCCACACTTGACGTATGGGAAACCACGGGAACATGGGTAACCTTTGTCTTAATCTCTGAAGTCATCTTCGGCATGACTTCGGCATGTTTCCATGTCAATAGGCAGCAAAATGCTGTGTCTTTCTAAAGCTGAGCTTCTCTGCATTGGAGTCCTGGGCAGAATGCTTTAGTAAGTCAGGTAAAACAGCTAACTCACTTTACTCCATCTTTGTAGTTTTCGTTTGGATAGTGAGAGCACATTTGCTTTTCAAAAGCAGAAGTGGGGAGCAGAGGACAGAGCAGAAGAGAAGGTGCCCTTGCTAGGCCTCTCTGTTGGAAGTATTTTGAATATTCCTCAAGAAGGGACAGAAACGTGGGTCAAAAAGAGCTACTTGGAATGAAACAGAGGCAATGGGTCAGGCGTCGGGCGTGTCCTCAAGCTTCAGATGTAGATCATCACTGTTCCAGACCCCTCTCAAGGGGCACAGCCCGAATCTCCAGCTGCTGATCAGCCATGGCCATCCTCCGGGGCCTGGCTGGCCTCCGGCCGGTGGTTTATCCCCTCTCTAAGACCTCTTCGTCTCCAGCTTGCTCAGGACCATTGCTTGTTCTGTGCTGCGTACACATGTGAGTAAGGTTGCCTACGACGTGCTGTTCGCAAGAGGTAGTTTGATAGCTTCTCCTTTCATCTAGCTTTTAGAGGTATAATGGCCACACGAAATTCTGCTCACAGCCAATATATACAATCTAATAAGTTTGTATAACACGTAGTCTCACCTTCCATGTTCCTCTCACAACAATCAAGGTAATGTGTGTGTCCGCCACCTCCAAGAAGTCCCCTGTGTTCTTGCTTTTTTTGGTTCTGCAAGAATACTGACCATGGGCCTCAGCTTGGTAGCACATTCTTAAGTGCACAGCACCACAATATGGAGTGGCTCTCCAGAACTTACTGCCACGAGTCACTGTAACTCCATACTCCTCCCCTCCCTGCCCGCAGGCCTGGCAACCAGGCTCTTGTCCTTCCAGTAGCTAACCACTCGAGATGCCTCAACTGGAGGCCCAGGCATCACTGTACAGTGGAGATTTATCTCACAGAGCACAACTCCCTTGGGTCCATACACAGGTTGTAAGAGTAGGCAATGACCCCACCATCACCTTTTCTTTTGTCAATTTACTAATTTTTTTTGAATTCTGGGAATTGAGTCTAGGGCTTACACACACTGAGCAGACATTCTACTGCTGAGCTACACCCTCAGTGTCCTTCAGGCTCCATTCTCATTGTCTGGGTGGTCTTTCTCTTCTCCCCGAGTGGCTTGCGATGGAAAGCTGCTTTGTGTCCCTAGTTGCCATCACTGCATCACTTGTGAGCTGTTTCAAAGACAGACACATGTTCTTCTGTTCCCCTCTTAACGAGCAAGGGATCCGCCTGCCTGAGTACTGTCTTTGTAGTTTTCAGGTGCTCTGCGGAATTTACACCTGACTTTGAGTATCCCAAAGGCTCTGGGAGCTATCTAAATCACCTGGGACTCTCTTGGCTAACCCAAAGCGTCTAAGAGATGGAAATTAGTGTCTGGCCAGCAGAGTGCTGGGGACTCTGCATTGAGAAAACAATGACTCCACGCTTTCCACTGCAGGCTGGAGAGAGAAGATTTAGCCTCGTAGAGGAAAACTAAAAAAAATCAACAAATCCCATGCCCCAATTCTCTAGAGAAAATGTCTCTATTCTCTACTGGGATAAATTAAGAGCAAACTGCTGAATGTGACTGTCAGAAGGAGCCAAGCTCCGGGAAATGTCGGCGTGGCCGTGGTGTCCGGCTCACCTGACAGTTGCCATTTATGAGCAGATGGCACTTGTAGCTGTGTGTTTGGGCTTTTGAAATCCTTGGGCACCAAATAGTTTTTGAACAGTTGGCTGAGAACTTCTTGTTTGTACAAGCGACTAAGTGCCTCATTTTCCAATCTCTGAAATGGGGATAATGATGAAACCACACTTGTAAAATCCTTTTTGAGCCCTGCAGATGAAAGAATCTGTGTGAGTATAAAGTATTGTTATTAAAATAATAGAATCTCTAATTAAAAGGAATGGGCTGTGTCGAGTTCCTTGTAAACTCGGTAATCGCGGTCGTTAAGCTTACTTAGTCTAATAGCGTTCTGAGTTTGAGCCTCGCAGTGCATGTAGGGACTTGTGTGAAAGATGTTCTCTCTCTCCTCATCCTAGTTTTAAGTCAGGAGAGCAGCTTGACTTTTTTTGCTCAAGGACGATTTCACTCAAGGCGGTACAGATTGGAATCATCCCTTCCCCCACTTTCCCTGTTTCCCAACAAGAGAAAAAAAACCCATAATCTTCTTTAATGTGTCCCGCTTGTATTTCTTACCATGAAGGAGAGGAGGAAGTAATTTAAGCTGGTGAAAATGGAAGAGATACACAACATGTTACTTTTTTTTTTTTGTATGTTTTCAGTATTTTGATTAATTCTTTAGGCCAGGTCTGTCTGTAAGCTAAAAATAGAAAGGACCTGATGTACACGGAGAAAAGGAATATATATATATATTTAACTGAGTAAACTCCTGGGTTGTAAATGATAAGTAGCAAGTATTTTCTGGTGAGCGGTTGAGTGTCTGTGTGTGTGTGTGTGTGATGTGTGTGTGTGTGTGTGTGTGTGTGTGTGTGAGAGAGAGAGAGAGAGAGAGAGAGAGAGAGAGACTCTGCTTCCATCCCACTTCTGAGACCATTGTATCTGGCAGGCAGTGTGGGTCTCCTGAATCAGAAATGCTTCTTCTGTCTTTTGTCACCCCACAGAACTTGGTTTCTTTCTGTGTTTATTCTCCCTGCAGCTAGGGGTGTGTTGCTGTCTCACGGTGCTCACTTGCTCGTTTTCTCTGCTCTCTGGTGGTGCCTAAGTCATGTCTGTATTCCACAGTGCCTAATAAATGGCTCTTTTCTCCAACTTTCAGTGTTCCTTCCATCACTAACTCACATGGCATTTATTTCCACTAAGTGTGTTGAGCCCATGATGTGTGGAAATGGCAACGGACACAGTGTTCAAGGGTTCGCAGTAGGACTACGTGAGGACAAGGCACGGCTCTGCCACTTGAGAGGTGGCAACAGCAGCCCTTAACACGGAGCTTGTTGTGCCCCAGACACAGTTCTCTGCGTTTTGTAACAGGACATTTATTTTTCACAATAGCTCTGTGGAGAGAACTCTTATTTTGACATTGCAAGCTCAGAGAGGTTCAGCTCAAAGCCATGAGCACTGGCAACTTGTCTGAAAATATAAAGAGCTGTGGGGACAGAGGAAGGGATTTTGAAACTCATTTTAAGACTTTTTTAGAGTAAAAGATCTTTTATTTATCCTTTGGCAACTTCATATTTGTGTACTTCACAGTTTGATCTTATATACCACAGCTTCTAGGAACCCCAACTTTTCTCTTTTGCTCTCCTGAGGAAAGAGTATTCTTTCAGAACAATTTTAAGTTGGGATAAAAATTAAAGTAAAAAGTACAGAGATTTCCCACAAATCCTCTTCCATATGTGAGTCCCCTCAATTTCACACCCTCTGTTTACTTTTGAATAATTAGGTTGTAGACATTATGTAAATTATGTGCTGCAGAAGTGAATGAGGAAGAGAGCTGTCGATGATAGTGTTTCCAGTCACGGCAGAGCAGTGCTGTGTGGAATCACCACGTAAGCTCTGAGTAGTTCAAGTTCTACATCAGGGCTGCAGAGTCAAAAATATCTTTGTCTTTTAATGTAAGAATGTATCACTGTCGCTGCTCTACAATTTAAGTGTGTTATTTCCTGCTATTTAAGAATGCTTTTAGGATGGTTTTTGGTCTACAGAAAAAGCAGACAGAAAGGACTGAGGCAATGGCTCAGCTGGTAAAACATCCGTTAGGCAACCATGAGGACCTGAGTCCGGGTCACCAGCAACCACACAGACAGCCAGGCTCACTGTGTGCTTAAAAACTTTTACTACTGCTACTATTATTATTATTTTACTTTTCAATGATTTTTATATTTGTAGGAAGCATTAGTGATATAAACAGAAACCTGGAGACCTTGTTTTATGCCTTTTTTGACTTGTTTTATGGTAGAGACTATTTTAATTAAGATAATGTAAAGCCAACTATCTACTTTAAAGTGTTAAAATTTTCAAGTGTGGATCCTGGTGCCTGTCACTTGGAGCTTTGTGACTGAAGGCCTTTCATTAACGCCCAGCATCATGAGCTAGACTAAACTGTCTTCCATTTCCCTCAGGAAGATTTCTTTGTTTTGCATCTATGAGTATTTGCTTGCGTGTACAGATGTGCACCAGCTGTGTGTGTGCGTGCACGCGTGCGTGCATGCGTGCATGCCTGTCTGGTGCCTGAGGAGATTGTGGGGGCTGGAAATGCAACGGCAGTTGCCTACAATTGAGAGCTGCCGTGTACATGCTGGGAATTGAACCTGGGTCCTCCGCAAGAGCAGGGATTGATCCTAATCTCTGAACCATCTCTCCAGCTCTCCCTGTGCACTTGGAATCCCAGCACTGGGAAGGTGGAGGCAGGGTAGTTAGTTCTGGAGCTTGCTGGTCAGCCAGTCTAGCTGAACTGGGGAGTCAATGAGAGAGTGTTTGAAAAATGAATCGAGAGTGACAGAACACACTTAATGACTTCTAGCATTCACATATGCACACACATACACACACACACAAACACACTCACACACACAGACATACTCACACACAAACATACTCACATACACACACACAAACATACACACAAACACACACACACACACACACTCAGTGAACAGAAAGCACACACATCCTCTGTGCAGCACTGTCGACCTCACATTGGTCTTGGTGTCTTTCCCTTTGGAGAGAGGACTGCGCCCTCTGAGTAGACTTTACAAACAGCTGCAAGTCTGACTGACTCCTCAGTTGAGTAGGAAGTGTTCTTCAGACATAAATTATTATTCAATCACTTCTCACAAATTAAAAAAATAAAAAGGTGAATGATACCCCAGTGGTCGTACTGAGAAAGAAAGAATCTTTCTCTTTCTGTCCTGTTGATGGTGGGATGGAACCCACCCCTGAGCCAGGCCTTCTTGGTGGTTCAAAATAAACATGTAAACATGGCGACTCCAAGTGGCTGAGGGAACACAGCTGCACTTGCTGGCGGTGCAGCTCAGTGGGGAAGGAGGAACAAGAGGATCCTGGGAGCATGAGAAGGAGGCTGAGCAGGGAGCTGCCATCGGCACATGGAGCCACCACTTCCATCTTCTGGAGACAGGCACTCTGATCTTCTTGTGGGAGGAATGGCGGAACTTTCTAACATGTCACCACCTGAGGACTGAGGAGTGGGTTATGCCCAGAGTGCGAAGCCCACATGGTGCCCTGTGATGGTGGGTGAGAGAATATAGTCTTAGTCACTACTCCCCAGGGACCCTTTAGAGTCCGCTGGCTTCCTCTTGTCTCCAGGGTATGAGAAAGTAGAGATGTTTGTCTGCAGACAGCAGATTCTGAAGGACTTGCACTTCTTGACATCACGGCAGCTAATTCACTTTTATGATTTGCCGGACGACATTCATTTTTGTATTAAAATTGTCTCCTTTGTGAAACATACTGGCACTTTCAAAGTTAGATGCCACCCAAATGCTGGAAGTCAGCTTGTTTGTATTATCATTATTATTTTTTTATTATTACTATTATTCTTATTACTTTCCAGACAGGGTCTCTGTAGCCCTGGCTGTGTTGTCCTGGAACTGGCTATGTAGACCAGGCTGGCCTCAAACTCACAGAGACCTACTTGTCTGTGCCTGAGTGCTCAGACTGATTATTAAGCCAAAGGATGCATCTTTGCTGTCCAGTGGTGTGGGTTGGCATAGACATTAGAGCTTAGCAAGGCCGGCTGCGGTGTGGAGCGGACGTTAAAAGACAGGGTGTCTCCTGCTCGGGGACACCCAAGAGCAGGTGACCTCCTTTGCTGGGGTTGCTGCAACAAACAGTGCAGAGAGTGACAGAGGGGACAGAAGTTATGTCCTGCTACTTCAGGAGGAGGAGGCCGGGGAACAAGGTGCCAGCGGGGCTGGTGTCTTCCGAGCCCTCTCCCCTTGGCTTCGGGACCACCCCTGAGTTCTCATGGGGTCTTCCCTCTGTGTGGGTTGGGGGCTGCTCCAGTGCCCTCGTTTTTCCTTGATTACCATGTCGATAACATGATTTTCAAAACTAGACAGCTGAGGCTCTGGGTACAGAGCTTCCTTCTCTTCCTCCCCTCCCCTCCTTCTCTTTGGGTTAACAATAGATGAACGAATGAATGCATGAATGAAAGAAATGATTTCCCTACAGTAGTTGAGGCTGCCAGCCCTCCCGAGGCCCTGCGCTCTGCCCTGTGCTTTACCAGCCCGCCCCGCCTTTTCCCCGCCTCATCTGTTCTCTTCCATTCTACTGGAATTCCGCCTGAGAATTTTCTCCCAAAGCGTGTCCCCTCACGGCCTCTCCCTCTCCCGCTCTTCGTGAGACAGGGAACTTCGCCGGGTTTGACTGCGGAGGCTGCAGGTTCGGCTGGACCGGGCCCGGCTGCGACCGGAGGAGGCCTCCGGTCCAGCGGAGGGACATCCACGCCCTGAGCGCCCAGGAGAGGGAGCAGTTCCTGAGCGCCTTGGACCTGGCCAAGCGCAGCGCCCACCCTGACTACGTCATCACCACGCAGCACTGGCTGGGGCTGCTGGGGCCCGACGGAACGCAGCCCCAGGTCGCCAACTGCAGCGTGTACGACCTGTTCGTGTGGCTGCATTACTATTCTGTCCGGGACACGCTGTTAGGTGGGTTTCCCGCATCCTTACGGCCCATCACTAGAGCCTCGTGCCCGGGTGCGGCTCGGGGTGTGAAACCTCAAGCGAACTGCCAAACGCCGGCCGCCCGGGGCTCACTCGGGCCGTTTCTTCCTGTCCTGCACACACTTCAAACCTCTCCCGTTCATGCTCCTGGTTCAAAGTCTAATCCTAGCTCTCTGTGAAACTTAATCCTCAAAGGCATGAGCAAAGTGGAGGCAAATTCCTTCTGATTCCAGAAAAGAAAAAAGAAAAAAAAAATCAACTTTGGCTTCAAAGCTGGCTCTGGCCTTTTCTTCAAATTAGAGAATTAACTGAACTTAAGCCAAGGAGCGCAGCATTTTCTTGCCCTGAAACTGCAGCGTCTAGACTGGAAACGCAGGGACTCCTGAACCCACACATCTTTAGACTCTCACTGGAAGTTCACTCCAGTGAAAGGTTGCTCCCTCGTAGGACAGGAGGTTTCTTCTGGTCGCAGTTGTCACCATGGACTTTGATGTGGGTTTCGTGGTTCGAACCCAGGTGTCTAGGCTTACACAGCAAAGTGTCTTTACCTGCTCACTGGTCACAACATCATTTTACTACACACACACACACACACACACACACACACACACACACACACACACACACTGTGGTCCCAGTGTTCCCTGCCTCCACAACAATAATGAAAAATGACGCTTTTGAAAAATTGAGTGCTAAAACTGTGGGGACCAGGTGGGCCCAAAGGCACACACTTCATTAATCAAACAGCTTTGTTCCCAGTTACCATGGTTTGGGGAGAGGCCATTGGACCGCTCCACGACGCCTTGAGTCCATTCTAGACTCCTCTCTTAACACTTGGCCGTCTCTGCTGCTGTCCCTCCTTCCGGGTCCCCTCCCTGGGGCCACGGTGGACGGAATCATTGAGCACACTTGGGCTGACACACTCTCACTGGGCACCTCACTCTTTCACGCCCATCACTGGATCCTGCCCTTTGGCATCCCTCTCACTGTTTTGTGTAGAAAACTCGAAACTTTTCTGTAGCTAGAAAACATTTTTCAGAAAGGCTGCGTGGCCAACAGCAGCGACAGAAGCTCTGCTTTTAGCTGCTGTTGTTAAAACCTGCCTCACAGGCCAGCATCCATCTTCCTTTCTCGGTAGAGGAGCAGTCCCTCCCAGTTACCGTTTTCCTGTCATTACTCTGAGGAGTTTTCACTTTATGAGAAGAGAGCCTCTCAAGAAGGAAGGGAAACTACAGTTTCTGGCCCTGTCTAGGAACTAAATTTATATTCATGTCTGTTGAGCTCTCTGAAGCTGTTACAGGTACTTTGAGAGAACTAAAGCACGCTGAAGTTTCTGCATAACCACCAGAAGCTGCTAGGAAAGGCAGAAAGATGAGCGGGCAGCAAGAAGGGCGTTAAATTGCCCAGAGCGCTTCACTAAAATTGGCAGTTCCAGTGGCCAGCTAAATTGGTTCCAGCACACTTTTTTTTTCTTCTCTTCTGGTCTCAGTGACCATGCTTGCCAGCTGGTGGTTCTAACTGATTGATGGGTGAGGCAGAAATCTCAAAATTCTTTTTGGTTGTATAAAGGCTGCATTAGCATGAAGTGTGGTTGAAGTTGCTACATCATTAAGTAATCTCTACGTGTAAATTTATGCAATTTAAAAGTGCATGTCAGAAAATCTTTAAAATGCATTTCATTTAGGTCTTAGTGACTGACACTTTTAGACAGCATTTTATTGTAATGCATTGTTGAGTAAAAATTAAAATATGTAACAGGACAGTGACGCCTGAATGACTTGAGTTTCTGAGCTCTGTTAAAAATCAAACTTTTGAGAGATGAAAATGACTATTTTGTGCAAGTGTTAATTGCTCTTGAAACTCTTTTATCATGATTCTTATTGTTGCTTTTTAGTAGATAAATAGTTCTTAAACTAAGGCACCACAGACTTCTTGCACACAGATATACCATGATAGGGTTTAACTTTGTAAATACTCTGTTCTCTGATCTCTGTTTCCCAACTGCTGTAGGTCCGGGACGTCCCTACAAGGCCATAGATTTCTCTCATCAAGGGCCTGCATTTGTCACATGGCACAGATACCATTTGCTGTGGCTGGAGAGAGAGCTCCAGGTGGGCCAAATTGTGCACTCAGTATCTAAAAAGTGTTTGCATTTAAGGAGTACATGATGTTTGAGACGCCTATTTCAGTAGTAGCTAGTCAAGAAAATTAATCACAGCCTTTCAGATAGCTTTCCTTTCTATGCTGAGAAAGGAAGAACCTCAGAGAACCTCTTGACAAACTCCCTGTGTGTGATGACCCAGTGTTGTGAATAGATCTGTTGTACAATAGATCCCTAGACAATCGCCTCTTCCCAGTTCTTCCTACTTGCTACTCATTTGGTATTTTTTATTTTTCTGATGTTACATGTGAGTGAGATTCTGTTTTTCTTTTTCATCTGGTTTATTTCACTTAGCACAATGTCCTCTAGGTTCATCTACATCGTTGCAAATGGTAGGATTTCCTTCTGTATTAAAGCAGAACAATTGTATTTTACATATATGCACAGATGTATATTCAGGCTTACGTATTTATGTGGACATGTGAATATAGTTTTATATGTTGACATGTCTTTATCCATCTGATTGGTATTCCTAGCTTGAGTATAAATTTGTCCAAGAAGCAGGCCAGTCTTTGCCTGACATGCCTTTGTGTAGCACGTGACACGCCTAAAATGATGGGATGTACCTTTGCTTCTAGAGACTCACTGGCAATGAGTCCTTTGCTTTGCCCTACTGGAACTTTGCAACCGGGAAGAATGAGTGTGATGTGTGCACAGATGACCTGCTTGGAGCAGCAAGGCTTGACGACCCAGCCCTGATCAGTCAGGGCTCCAGGTTCTCCACCTGGGAGGTTGTGTGTGACAGGTAATGAGCACAGCTCTCGAGACTGTTTGTTCTTCCTCGGGGTGATAGACACTCTATTTCTTTACTTTTCTCTTTTCGTGGTACATGGGGTTATGTTTACATGTTTCTGAAGGCATTTTTTTCCTTGGGGATCAGGAATTTAAAGACTAAAGCTCTCAAATTAAAAAGTAAATGTATGAAAATCCTATCTGTGAGTTGAGTGTATTTGGGCAACATTCTGAGAGCAGGAGCACCATTTTACAGTCAGGAGCAGCTCTAGCATTCAGACATTTGCTGAGCATCAAGCACACCCTTGGTGATGCAACCCTGCTGGGAATACAAGGAGGAATACGATCTAGCTACTCTGCATTTACACAGACCAATCTGTGGTAAATGAATTACCAAGCAGTTTGAGAAGTGCTATAACAGGCGTGTGTGTGTGTGTGTGTGTGTGTGTGTGTGTGTGTGTGAAGCCAAGAAAAGAGGAGTCGGGACAAATCCGAAAGGGTGTGTAGCTGATGGTTCTGAGACAGAAAGGGCTGCAGACCCTGGCTAGGTGTGGGGGAAGGCAAGGAGGGTGTGGAGAGGGCAGGTCCTCTGTGGGGGAGCATCTTGCGTGGGTCTAGAGAAGCCTCTGGACAGAAGTTGCTGTATCTGGGTCACAGGACCCTGAGGAATTGTGTGGGACCCAAGCACAGACCTTGGGAGGTGGGAAGCTCAAAAACGTCTCTTAATCCTTGAAGGCTTCATGAGCAAATAAGTGAGCCAGAGTCCTGAAGAGTTATACCTTCAGAGTGTCCTGGACTCAATTCCCTTTGGGAATGCCACCTGCCCTTTGGGAATCTGTTTCAGAACCCCCAGGAGTACCTGACACCTTACATGGTACCAAGCCCTACGCACTCCGGCTTTTCCTACTTATGGCAATATCTAATTTATGAATTAGTTGCAGTAAGAGGCCAACAATAGCTAATAATAAGATAGAACAACTATAATCAATTCTAAGTAAGATCTGTGTGAAGATAGACTCGTTTTCTTTCAAAATACTTTAGCTTCTCAGTGCACTGTAGGGATATCTTAGAGCAGAGTTGACTGCAGGTAACTAACCATGAAAAACAAAATTGTGTCTCAGAAAAAGATTCCCCAAGAGGCTCCTCTGCCTTCCTTCCTTTATTTCTTTTTCTCTCCCAAATCCCCATGTTTTTCAGCTGTACTCTGTTTTCCCATCCTACATAATTTCCTACGCTGGGGCCAGCCCCACCCCAGGCCAGCATTACACGGGGTCACCCCTGCCCCGGCCAGCGCTGGTCCTGGGTGCATAGATGTTCTGAAGGGCCTGCCCTGGGGTATGTGTGTATTCTGAGGAGCTGGACACGGGAATTCATCTGTGTTCTGCTCACGTCCTGCAGTTCTCAGTCAGGCCTCACCTAGTAGGATATTCTAGATACCCTTGCACAATAACACTCATCCCCATAAACACCGTTTTCCACTGTGCCTTTGTCTGTGATATGAAAACAAGTGTCTGTGGTCATGCAAGTGTAAAGGCCATTGAGTTCAAACTGTGTTTTTAGAGTATTTGAAACATCTCTTAGTCTCCGTAGATGAAGATGAACATGAACATATTCCTATTTATCTTGGGGAATCTAGACAGGCTTGACTCTGGATCACACATTGGGAAATGATGCTTTGGGAGGTCTTTTGCTGGCTGATGTTTGGACCCTGACATCCTCCATCTTTGCATGTGTTCTCCTTCTAATCTCAATCTCCAACTATTTTCCCTCACTCTTTGAAACCCATGCAGTGATATCTTAGAACCTGTCTCCACGCATGAACTAACACATCTGCTGGTGAGATTCCAGGCTACCTCTCAGCCTCACATTAATTTCCAACTGTCTGCACACAGTTCCCAATCTGGTTTTTATTTTCCATTTTTAAAACTTATTATTTTGCAGCCTAGAGGGAAAGCTTATTGGTTAAGAGTATTTGATGAGAATTGTGTAGACTGAAACTAGAGTTTCAATCCCTGCACACACATGACAAGCTGGGCATCCCAGGCAGGTCTGTAAGCCCAGCTTCGAGGAGGTGGCGAATAAGAGGCTTGCTAGTGCTAGCTGGCTTCCTGCCAAGGAAATGTGACCCTGTTGTAGAAAATGACAGTAAATGGCTAATAATGTTTATTACGAAAGCCTGTAAATGTTATAGTGATATTATCTAACCTGATAGATTTTAGATAAGCCTTATTTTAGGCAGGGCAGATGCTAGCCTCCTAAACTACCCTTTCTCTCACTCCCACACCCCATGCCAGCTGCTCTCATCATTCCTATCTGGGCCACTTCCCATCCATAGTCCATAAATACTTGATTGCGTTTCTCCTCTGGGATGCTTCTCTCCATGCCACACCATGGTGGCTCGGCCTCCTTTTCCTTCTCCTAAACCTCTCTCTTCCTTTCTTCTAGTGAGCCTCTATTCCTCCAAGCATGTGAGCCTTGGCCATGCTTCCCTAACTTCTGCCCTGTCAAGGATCACAAATGTCATTTGGGGGCATGTGTCTGCTTATAAAAGACAGCAAGCAGACCTCAGGGGGCAAAATAATTAACAGTAAAATACTGAGCATTAGACCAGGCCATTACATGACCCCGCAGGTTTGTGGACACCCACGCACACGTATGCATACACTCACATAAATAACTATATGAACTAAAATTATTATTTTAATTATATAAATTACGGGGTATAATATTGATAACTGTGTATGTGTACGTGCATATACGTATTCCGTGTAGGACATCAAATTAAGGTATTTAAGACTTTACTCACCTTAAATATTAAAAAATCTTATTACTACATTTTATTTGTATAATTTTATCTGCTTTTTTCTGGCTTCCTGTTTGTCTCCAGTTGGTCAAAATGCTTTCCCCAGCTCTGCACAGGTAATCCTCTCAAACTGGCTTGGTTCGGTGTAATGGAGATAGTATGTTCTCACTGCCTTGCTTGGAAACCCTGTTCCTGTCTTTTGAACGGGATAATAATTACTATCACCTTTGCTCCTGTACTCATGTTTTGGGCACCCACATATTTGAAATGTCTCTGTCCATGATTACCTTTAAGGGTAATATATTTTTTTATACCCACTAGACCTTGTAAAGTAGCTAATGACCATGACCCTCACTGATTTTCTTGGATCAAATTCATGATACCAAGTTAAGACATATTGTTTTTAAACCTATAAATCTTAGCTTGGATGACTACAACCGCCGGGTCACACTGTGTAATGGAACCTATGAAGGTCTGCTAAGAAGAAACAAAGTAGGAAGAAATGGTGAGAAGCTGCCGACCTTAAAAAATGTGCAAGATTGCTTGTCTCTCCAGACGTTTGATAACCCACCCTTCTTCCAGAACTCTACCTTCAGCTTCAGGTGGGCACTGACCTCTTCTACAGCACCTCAGACCAGCGGCCCTCAACCTTCCTAATGCTGAGAACCTTCAATACAGTTCATGTGTGGGGCCCCCGGTCATAAAATTGTCTTTGTTGCTACTTCAGAACTTTAATTTTGCTACTGTTATAAATCGTAATGTGAATATTTTTTTGGAGATAGAAGTTGGCCAAAGGGGTTGTGACCTACAAGTTGAGAACCGCTGCATAAGCCCATCATACTTGTAGTAGAAATGGGACCAAACGGAACCAGGTATTGGCAAACACCTGCAAATCTAAATATCAGAGAAAGTCTTAAAAACAGGATAAGGAGGGGATGATGCTGAGAAATGTACTCTTACCAATATTGCAGTTTCATTAGCTTCTACATAGGCTGTTCAATGTCATCCTAGTTTCTGATTTCGTTATACATACAGGCATTAGCTTAGCAACCGAGGCACCTCACTAACTATCATACTTTAGTAATGTTCATAGTTTTCATCATTCACTTCTTACTTAGTTTCTTAAATGTTGGCATTAGAAGTTCATCAGTCACAGATCTTAGTGGTGTTTGACTTAATACTGTGAGTTTTTCTAATTTACCTCAAAGTATTGCACAGCATAATAACCTAATACTTGAAACTTTAATAACCAGCCAACAGTTTCCTCTCATCACAAAAGAATGGTGCTGAATATGTATGCAAAGAAGGTTCTAACAAAAACACATGAGGTGTCCAAGAAATGGAAGGTGATCTTATCTCTACAAGCCCCACACCCCATTTATCCACTGCATAATCAACTGTACCAGCGCTTGGAGCTGGTACTTGGCGTGGACAAGGCCCTCAGAGTGGTGTCAAAGCAGGCAAAGGGCTGGAGAATAGTGGTGCACAGCTTTAATCTATTTCAATGAGAAATGCGGGCGGAAGAGTCCACGTTGACTCAAAATTCATTTCCTGAACTCGGCTCATGTGTGGGGAAGGGTAAAAGGCCCTGGTCATAAAAATGTGAAGGAAGCACAGTCCCTGTCTTTTAAGGGTATAGAAAACAGGAATGAAGATACATAGTTATACTGTGCACAAAAGAACCATGTAACGCAGCAGGGGCAAGGGCAATATTGGATGAGCGCCTTCTCTCATGGGAGAGTGGTACAAAAGGCTGAGGTGAGAGAGGTGGTAGTCAGCGACAGACAGGACCTCTCCCACCCTTGTCCAAACTTAGATGAGAAGATGCTGGGAGTGTTGAGACCTTGGCTGAGCTTTATGAACTCACCCACATTCTGCTCACTCTCAGGAATGCTCTGGAAGGGTTTGATAAAGCTGACGGAACACTGGACTCTCATGTCATGAACCTTCATAATTTGGTTCACTCCTTTCTGAATGGGACGAATGCCTTACCACACTCAGCTGCCAATGATCCTGTTTTTGTGGTAAGTTCAAAGAATTGGAACATATGGAGCTGTGTCTACATAACCTACTGGATCCACTGGCTTTTCCGTGCAGTGATGGTTTGGTGACGCTTCATTCTGTGTCCACAGTATGGTCTCTGCATATATACATTGATTTTAATCCACAGGGAAGTATAGCTAGGTAGCATATGAAGCCCTTACTCAGAAATCAATCCTTTAGGAATGGTTGGATATAGATAAACTTTACCAGGAGTTCACAGTCCAGAGAGAAGTATACAAGTTAGCAAAATTTTGTCAATAATCTCACAAAATGTGTATCATAAATTAACATAACTGATTTTTCCTGGCTAATGAGCAGTATTAAAGACTGTTAAGCTCACACAAACCACCTTCACTTTGTTGCCTGAAGGAGACAAAGGCTTCAGTAGCCAGAAGAAAGAAAGAAGCAATGCTGGCTGGTTGCGGACCACAGATGCTCTCAGCCACAGTGGTGATATAAAGCCCAGGTTTGGGATCACTTACTTTATGTGGCTTCATCCTTCTACGACAGGAGACAGCCGTTAGAGACAGCTGGCGCTGTGTGCTCAGGGTCCTTATGGCTCTTTCACATCCTAAGCACAAGCAATTTCTTTGAGAAATCTGACTTCAGTCTTACTTTTAAACAAGGAAAATTTGACAATGCTTGGCGGTTATCAATTTAAACATTCCAAGTTACCCTAGTTCTTAAAGGTAAGTTTGCCAAGGACTTCTCTTGAGATAACTTGAATGAAGACTGTGTCAGCTGGGGTCACAGTATTCGGCTGCCCATTACAGTGTCTTTCACCCTGGGGACGTGGCTGGAAAGCAGACTCCTTTTCTATGGCTTAGTTACCCATGGTCAGCCATGGTCTGAAGGAAGACGAAAGTTGAAAATGGTACAATTAGGTATTTTTAGAGATAGTTCACATTCATACCAACTTTATTACAGTATGCTGTTATTGTTCTATTATTTTATTACTTTATTATTCTCTTACTATTCCTGGTTGTCAAGTTACACTTCATCACAGGTATACTTGTAGAGGAAATACATAGCATATTTGAGGCTTGCTATTACCTTAGGTTCAGGTACGAAATGAGGGCTTGGAGCCTATGGCATCTATTTCCTTCCATTACTGATGGGTTATTAAAACTCCTTACAGGGAGAGAATGAAGGTTGCTCAAAATGTTTTAGCCAATGGGCGTTAGAAACTGTTAAGCTTTGGGTTTGTGCCAGATGATTTGTGGAGAGAGGCAGGGGAATTTCACTCCAGGTCGATCCTGTCAGGAAGAAAGGGAGATTCTATCATTAGTACTCAAAGCACTTGTCCATAGCAAGACAGACTAGACACTGTTTATTGGTAAATCAGCAGGCAGTCATTTGTAGCAGACAGCAAAGAGGACACTGGGTATTTTGTCTGTGTTCAGACATGCCTATGGGGTTGCATTGGCTTGGTACTGATCTGTCACAGTCACAGAGGGCCCTGTCTGCTGCTGCTGTTCTGTGGAACAGTTTATGTCTGACAGAGCGCATCCAGACCTAGCTGACAGTGCCAGGAAAGCTCCTAGGCCAGGCTGTGTTTCCTTTCTCAAGAAGAGCGCACTAAGGTTGGCTGAGAAGATTTACAGAACAGCTATACAGGTTTTCCACTGCTGACCTCCAGGAGGTGCATGCTTTGGAGACCCTCAGCTCGCACTGCCTGCTCGCCTGCTGTCTTCAGAGCTGCCTGTCTTACTTAGGTGGGTGCTTTAGCATCCGCCAGAAGAAGAAATGTCTCCTTTCGCCCTTTAGACTTTTGATAGTAATTCGGATTTCGATTCTTCCAGAATTTTACCAATGTGTCTTAGCTTGCTCAGAGTGTTGTAACGACACAACATTGACTTGTTAGCATAGACAATAGCCGCTGTCCTGGGCAACACACCCATCACCAGGTGAAGGCTCCTGTACTAGGTTCTCTTATCTCTGCCACCAGTATCTGACAAAGAGCAACAGGAGGGGAGAGAGTGTGGGGGTACAGGTGATGGTGGTGGAGAAAGCATGGCGGCAAGGCTGCCAGGGTGCCAGTCGAAGTGCATCCACGGACAGGAAGTGTGTAAACAGGAAGCAGGACCTGCCTGTAAAACCTCACAGTCCTCCAGTGAGCCACTTCCTCCAGCCAGGCTCTACCCCATAAATGTTCCATTGTAGCCTCCCAACCAGCACCACTAGGTGTGAATTAGGTATCCAAACACAGACATTGACAAGGACATCTCACATCCAAACTGTTCTCCTCCTGGGCCTGCAGGCTGTGATGTTGGGTGCTGGAAAGCGAGGGGAAGTAAGCTCTCTTCTGCTATTGCTGAGAAGACACCAATCCTGTCCATCAGGGCCCCACCCTTCAGACCTCAGCAAACCTTAGTTTCCTCCTCTCAGGTCACATTTGTAAATGTGGGCACATGGATGAGTGTGAACTCTAGGGAACTCACCATTTCCTCTCTTCACCAGTTTATAGAAGTTTGTCTTTGTACATTCCTGGGGGGACACTGAATTTTGCATCATGCTGATTTGGCCCTGACTTGTTCAGTCTTGAGACTGTCGCTGAACAGTATGGGGCCTTCGTTTCCCATCTGCAGGTCACATGCTTTCTTCTCACAGCGGGAAAATGCCGTACTGCTTAAAGTAACTTCACCTCAGGATGATGCGCCGATGCTGCAGACACCCCAGAGATAACTGAATGTCATCATTAAAAATAATATTTTTGTTATAGTCCACGGGAGAGAGTTGTGTGTGGGCTTGAATTTCCAAACCTTGTTTGAAGTTCCTTGTCTTCCTCTCTGCTGGTGCAGGTCGTCGGGCCCTAAGGCAGCCGACGCGCAGTCCCAGGGATTTGGACCTGTCATTCGAAAGGGAAGTGGGGAGGGAAAGTGTAGTTTCCAGTGGTGTTCAGCTGGCCCCAGTGGTGGGAAGGCTGCAATCTCCCAGGAATAGATGGACTCAATAGGGGCCAAGATGAACTCAGAAAACCCCAACGTCAAAGGAAGAGGGGTGTGAGCACTCCTTGTAGGAAGTGCTTCTCCTTCTGGGTCTGGGTAGCCATCCTACCTGATGGCGTTGTCAGCAGTGTGGACTGCTGGTCTCTGTTCCTGACCAGGTGGGGCTCTGCTGTGCTATCTCCCCGCTGCTGGCACTGGCTGAGGTCTCTTACTCCACGTTTTGGATCATTTCCTAGGCCGTCAGCACATGCCCAGATTTCTGGTACCCACCCCCCTTCTCTGCTCCTCACCGAGATGGAGTGTGCGCCATCGACTGCACGTTTGGACACGCACTCCCTTCTTGGAAGGGGAAGGCTAGGACTTCTTCTGTCAGTATTTCAAGTTATCTTCACTAGGACTGTGAGGGCTCTAACACATGGGCACGAGACCGCAAACCGTCCTCTGCTCCTAAAGGAAATATTGGCAATGCCAGCAAACAGGTTTTCCGTAGGAGTGCTGTCTCTGGGAGGAAGCCCACGAACCCCATTAGAGCCTACAGGCACAGGCCACATGCTTTTGTGAGTGACCACATAGGAAAATTGGGTGGTTCCCGGGCCTGAGAGGACTCTGGGGCAGTTGCTTGATTACGCAGTTCTCTTCTCTCTCCTCTCCACCTCCTCCATTGCTCTTGCTCCATCCCTGCCCCCTCCCTTGCTTCTGTTTATTTATTTATTTAGTGCCAGGAACTGGACCCGGCTTCTAGTGCATGTTAACAGATGCTGAGCTGTCTCCCCAGCCCTTATCTATGGCATGGGAGCAGCCGTAGACAATGCTCAAATACTGAGTGTAGCATCCCAATAAAATGCAACATAGGGAAATAGCCAGCAGGCTCATGTGGTACTTTTTGCCCTTTTCTTATTTCACTTAATGCTATGAGCTCATATGTATGAATACATGTGCTCACCCCCCCCACACACACACACATTTACTTTGCTGGCTCTTAAACTAAGGGAATAGCATTCCTCATCTAAGGGAATAGCATTCCTCATCTAAGGGAATAGCATTCTTCATTTGCACCGGGGTTAAAGGGCACTCTTCCTATCCTCTCAACTTTTCCTCCCACCTTTCTTGTTTTCTGTTTTGCAATGGGGTCTTACTATGTCACCGACACTGGCCTTGAACTTAGAATCCTTCTGCTTTCTCTTGTGGAATATCTCTACACTCATATTCTTTTCCTGCCCTAGGTGAGAACCCACATGGTAACTTTGCTAATAAAAAAACCACTGCAGCTTACATGAACTTCAAGGATACTAAACTAGATATTTAGTTGTCTTGGTCTTCACTATTTTTAATATCTTCCATATTAAAATTTGGGGAAGGCGTGGTAATAATAATTGTATATATACCAAAAAAAAAGTAAATAAAACATAAAGTCAGAGCCTTTCTTTGAAGATAGAGGGAATAGCTTTTTGGCGCAGGTTTCAGAACACACACTTACTTAAGGCTGTTTATAAAGAGCTTTATGCTGAAGCCAATTCAGCCTTAAATGATTTTTCGTACTGAGATTTAGGTTAAACTATTTTAGTTGATGGAGTTATAGCCACAGGTTTCAGATTCATGCAACTTATGCAACTGTGCTGCATACTGCTTTTTATTAGAACTATTTTTTTGTGTGAAATCTCTTCAATCAAGAGAATTACAAAGTTGTATAGGATCCCAATAAAAAGGAAGAGAAGGCAGAATGTTAAGATGGAGAAAAAAAAAAAAAAAAGAACCTCTGAAGCAATGTCTGGAGTTCTAATAATTCTTATAAGTTGCAGCAAATCCACACATCATAGAAAATGAGGTTAGCCACAGGGAAGCTAAGCATTGCTCTCTTCTGAATTAAATTTAGATGTAGTCCAGAAAATCTGAGAAATGGTGAAACCAATACACTGTAAAGTTAAACAGTTACCTGCTGAGAAAGAAGCTCTCTCTGGAAACAAGTGACATTCTTCCCAGGGCCTCTGGACACGTTTCCTGGCAGCGTCTTAGAAGAGGCTGCGCAGTCTGTC